GTTCAGGACCGAAAGGGTGTGAACGGTTCGGGACCGAAAGAGTGCGAACGGTTTGGCCCCGCAAGGGTGCAAATGGTTCGGGACCGAAAGGGTGCAAACGGTTCGGCACCGAAAATGTGCAAAGGGTTCGGCACCGAAAGGGTGCGAATGATTCGGCACCGAAAGGGTGCGAATGGTTCGGCACCGAAAGAGTGCGAATGGTTCGGCACTGAAAGGGTGCGAATGGTTCGGCACCGAAAGGGTGCTTAAGGTTGTATATGAGTGGTAAACATATTGATCCATGATATGGATCGATGGCTCAAAAAGAAGTGTATATGAAACATCCTTAAGGTTTTATTGTAACTTGTAATAAGTATAAAATGTATACATTTATATGTATGGTAATGAAAGCACATAGACAATAACATCAAAAAAAAAATTGAAAAATGGAAAGACATGACTCCTGATGGTAAATACTACACACCTGTAGAAATGAATATACAATCCAAGGTGTATCGTGTTACACAAATTATGAAACTACTTTATAAAATTTGTATGCCAAATTTAAATGTAAACCATTTTTAAAATTAAATATAAAAATAATCAGAAAAGGTTAATTATTTATTTGTTTCCTTAAAAAGACACTTTTAATGATATTTAACAAATCATAAAATATATTTTTCAAAAATACTCCACCTTTCATTTTATTTGGCATTCACAACCTTTCACATTAATTGAGATTTTTATTAAGATACACAACTTTTCATTTAATTTGCCATCAGAACCTTTAGAATTAATTGAGATTTTTGTTAAGATACACAGCCTTTCATTTTATTTATTAAGAAACACAACTTTTCATTTTATTTTTTTAAAGAGACACAACTTTCCATTTTATTTTGCATTTACAACATCTCACATTAATTGACATTTTTATTAAGAATTACAACTTTTTATGTTATTTGGCATTCACAACCTCTGGAATTAATTGAGATTTTTATTAAGATACACAACTGTAGAACTAATTGGTAATTTTATTAAGACACCCAATTTTTCATTTTATTTTATTAAGAGACACAACTTTTCATTTTACTTATTAAGATAAACAATTTTTATTTTATTTGACATTCACAACCTTTAGAATTAGTTGTGATTTATTAAGAGACAAACTTTCATTTTTATTTACTAAGAGACACAATCTTTCATTTATTTCTTTAAAGAGACACAACTTTTCATTTTATTTTGTATTTTCAACCTTTCACACTAATAGACATTTTTATTACGAGTCTCAATTTTTCTTTTTATTTGGCATTCACAACCTTTGAAATTAATCAAGATTGTTTTAATTAGTAGATTTTTATCACGAGAAAACACAACTATTTTAAATATTTTAAATATTTTTAAATTATTTTTTCTGAGACACAATTGTTTTTATAATGAAAAGATGCAACTTTTAAATAATATATTTCAGTTTTTATGAAGAGATATAACCTTTCAACAATTGTTATATGAGAAGACAAAACTCTTACAACCTCTTTTAAATACTTTTAAACTATTTTTTCTGAGACACAAACTTTTTTTATAATGAAAAGATGCAATTTTTAAAATAATATTTTTTTATAAAAATCTACACTTCTATTTATAATAAAAAGATGCAACTTTTAAACTAATATATTTCAGTTCTTATGAAAAGATACAACCTTTCAACAATTGTTATTATGAGAAGACACAATTGTTATTATGAGATTTTAAATACTTTTAAACTATTTTATCTGAAACATAAACTTTTTTAATATTGAAAAGATGCAACTTTTAAAATAATAGATAACTTTTTATGAAACTACACAATTCTATTTATAATAAAAAGATGCAACTTTTAAACTAATATATTTCGGTTCTTATGAAAAGATACAACCTTTCAACAATTGTTTTTTTCTTTTGAAATACACAATTATTTTTATAATGAAAGATGAAACTTTTAAACTAATATTTCAGTTTATTATGAAAAGATACAATTTTTCAACCATTGTTTTGTTTTTCATGCAATTGTCCTAAGAAATGTTTTTTAGACATAAGATTTTATGGCATTAACATATATTTTTCAAACAACACATCTTTTTACGTGAAAGAGTCATACGTTTTCATATTTGAAGGATTACAATCTTTAGTTATAATTGTTTTTTTTTTCTATTGGTCTTAATAATTTTTGTACACTTAAATTAAAATTGCTATGAGCAATTATTTTTTTCAAACAACACAGCTCTTTAATTTGAAGAGTCATACTTTTCCCTAATTCTTGATTTTTTAAATTTTTTTTGAAGAGTTTAAATCTGGTGGTTGTAATTGTTACGGTTCTATCTAATGATTCTGAAAATGTATTTGGTTGAACTTTTTTTTCCTTGCAACTTTTGAAAATATTCATTTTAAAACAAAACACAACTCTTGATAATCTATCAATGTACCTTTTTAGATTACTATAAATAGAACATTTTGTAGATGTAATTTTTTTAAGAAAATTTATGTGTTTTTTTTTCTAATATAGGTATGATTCTTAGTACTCTTGAATATAATGTTTGATTCATTATATAGTTCTAAACAATCTTTAAAAATTTAATGTGATGTCTGCAAAAAATAAGTTAATAGGTTTAGTTTCAGTGAAACTAAACTACCATATCTAAACCAGTCTTGCTATATGAAAACAACCTATTTTTTTTTTTTAATCTCTTATTCTTCTTATGATAAAGT